GTGAGCAGGGGAGGGGTAGAGAGAGGGGGAGACACAGGATCGGAAGTAGGCTTCAAGCTCCGAGCTGTCGGCACAGAGCCCGACGCGGGGCTCGAACTCATGAACCGCGAGATGGTGACCTGAGCGGAAGTCGGACGCCCAACCGACTGAGCCACCCAGGAGCCCCTTTTGCTTTTTATAAATATCAACAACATTCCAGGTTCAGCCAAGTGGGAGGCCTGCCTTTTTCTCACCCTACTTCCTGGTGCCCCTGTAGCATGTGGCCTTACTGGTCTGTGCACTGTCAGCCGAGCAGGAGAGGAGGTGGAACACGGCCTGTTGGGCCTTTCCTGCCTCCAGCTGACCTGTGGCGAGGGCTCCTGGATGCCTGGCCCTGAGCCAAAGAGGCTTGCGTGGTACCTGGACTTTGGGAACTGTCCCGAGAGCCTCCTCCTGCCCCCAGCATTCTGAACCACTGCCATATGCTAGAGACCACCCACAGCATCCAAGGGGAGGGCCCCCGGTACCCTCATCCCCTATCTGTGAGTAGGTCCTCAGGGCCTCCTCGGCTCCCAGTCGGATGACCCATCTGCTGGGGCTGTACTGATTCTCCAGCTCCTATGGAACACAGACAGAAGTTTCCGTAAGACCTTTGTTCTCCACACAACGTGCCCCCACCCCTCCGAATGCCTGCCTTGGGAAGCCCCCTCCCCAATATCTCAGGCTCTTTAGAAGCCCTCAGCTTCCTTCAAGCCCCTGGTATCCCACTCTCCACTCTCCCCCGACACCAACTAATTAGGTATTTCAGATACAACATCACAGGGGCTCTCAGATTCACGGTCTAGAGCTATGGCCGTGCTTTTAACTAGTGGCCAGCCTTAAAGGGGAGATAAGGTCCTATAAAATGTGTTCTGGTTAATGCCACCATGGGCACCACTCCTGCTGCAGGAGGCCAGGTTCCTGGCGTGGTCACCGCAGAGAAAGTGTGGCAGAGCTTATCTCTGAGAGGCCACGGTCCTGACTGCAGGAGGGCCCAGAGCAAAGGTACAGGGCTCAGGAGGGGGGAATCAAAGGTCGGTCTGGAGATAGTGATAGGCCAGACTGCTGAATCACAGAGGTGAGGCTGGGCAGCTGGGACCGGAAGACGGAGGGTCTCACATATCAGGCTAAGATGTTCAGACTTCATGTAGAGAAGCAACAAGAACCAGGTTTTGGAGAAAAAGTTCAAAGGCAAGGAGAAAGAGTGAAGCCCCAAATGGGAAACTGGAAGACAGGGTACCTTCACAGAAGGATCTGGGGCTCTGGAGTCAGATGGGTTGAGGGCCATCCATGCTCCGTCACTTACAGGCTGTTTTACCCTGGGCAACTTATAGTCTCTGAGTCTCAGTTCCCACATCTATATAATAGGCAAAATAGCAGCCTCACAGGGTGAAAGGTCATAAGGCACGTAAATGAAGTAAAACCAGCCATTCAAATGTGGGTTACTGCCTCCTCGAGCTGAACGAGGTTGTTGGCCAGGGTTCTTTAGATCTGTACAATCTGTGCCCGTCAGACGTTCACAGCCATCCCTGGCACACACAGTGACTGCTGTCACCGTCCTCACTGTTCTTAAGTATGCTAATGATAATGCAACGGGTTTCTGAGAGTCCTCTGATATTGTAGGCAAGTGTGTGGGGGACAGAGAGACAGAGACAGAGAATGGGATTTCTTGGGGGGTTAGTGTCCATAACTTAACCAGATTCTCAGATGTATCAGTGGCCAGAATAAAAAAAAAA